AGGGAGACTGATTTCCTTCTAAGAGAGGAACTAGGAGGTTGAAAAGAGATACTTGCCACTCTTCTCTCCTCAGAGTTAGGGGATTTTAGGCAAGAATTATAGCTACCTGCCCCCAACCCCAAATATTGTTAGTCTAAAGGAAATAATTTTTAGGTTCAAAGTGAACTCCTGATCACTATCCCTCAATGAGCAATGGTTACCCCAAGCTATATATACAAGGCTTTATTCCCTTTCCACCAAATGCCAGTTCCACAATGAACACACACTGCAAATAGCAAATAAAAATATTTATCCAAGCCAATAACAAATATGAATCAGAAAGTATATGGTTGAGAATATGTACCAGACAATATACAGAGTAAACGAGTTCTATCAGTGGGAGGGAAATATTTTAGCTCAACTGAGAGTATCCCAGATTTCATCCAAGAGGAAATTCCCTGAAATCTCTAAATTAGTAAGCTGGGGATATGGACATAATTGAGGTGCCAGCTCATTCACATGCTGGCTTCTTCCCAGAGTCTTACTGTCTGGGAACCTGAAGAGAGTCTGGAAAAACACATCTTCTCTCTTGAAGCTGGAAGCCCAAAGACCAACATCTGTCTGAGCTAAGGGTTATATTAATGTACATTCTAACAAAAAATCTAGACAGGTAGATAGATAGATAGATCAATAGATAGATAGATAGATAAAAAGATGGATGGATGTATAAATAGATAATATATGCAAAGTGAATACAAGGTAGTTTGAAAAGTGAGGATACTAGGATCTGACAGTATCAGGAAAGGTTTCATATGGAATGTAACAATTGAGTTGAATCTTGAAGGAAGCCAGAGATTCCAAGTGACAGAGTTGCATGAAGAGTACATTCCAGGCATGGGGGATGGCCAGTGTAAAGTCATGGAGACAAAAGATGCAATGCCACACGTGCTGTGGGTAGAACAGTGAGGAGGTTGGTATGGCTAGAAGTACATTGTGGGGAGTAGGTAATGTGTAAGAAAACTAGAGGGGGAGGAAGATTTCATGTTATGAAGAGCTTCAAAAGTCAAAAGAAGGAGTTTATATTTGATCCTAGAAGCAACAGAAAACCACTAGAGTTTGCTGAGCAGAGATGTGACAGGATCAGAATGGCACTTTAGTAAAGTCAATTTGGTGGCTGAGTGGAAGATAGATTAGAGTAAGGAGATACTTAAGATAGTGAGACTAAATAGAAGGCTAAAGCAATAATCCAGGCAAGAAGAAATGAGGCCCTGAATAAAGATGGTAGCTGTATGAGTGTAGAAGAGGGTGTGTGTGTTTGTGCGTGTATACGCTTTTTCATATATACATACATATGTACAGTGTATGTATATATGTGTGTATGATGTGGAGATACAAACAACAAAATGATTGAATATGTGAGGTAAGTGAAAGTGAGGAGTCAACACAGAGCTTGTGAACCTCAGTGACTAGAAGGATGTTGGTGCCCTCAACAATACTAGGAAAGTTCAAAAGAGAAGTAGGTTTGGGAGTAAAGATAATGAGTTCTGCTTTGAACTTGTTGAATTTAAGATGCTTATGGAACATCTAGTGGGAAATGTCCAATAAGCAGTCAATACTTCAAAAGATCAATAATTTCATCAATGTAGTCAGTCAGTCAGCTAGCCAGCCAATAAACATTTATTAAGCACCTGTTATGTGCAAAGTACTGTACTAAGCATTGAGATACAAAGAAAAACAAAAGACAGTCCCTGGTCTGAAGCAGCTCATATTCTAATGGGGGGAAACAATATGCAAACAACTATGTATAAAGAAGCTATATACAGGATATATTGGAGATAATCAATAGAAGGAAGGCATTAACATTAAGGGAGATAAACCACTCCCTCTAATTGTGCACATCACAGCTCCATTCATGCATTCCTATCCTGTGCAATTCTTATCCTTGTCTTCCCCAAAACTCTTTATGGAGGATATATGCTGAAGGATGTCTTCTGTCTTTTTATATTTGTTAGGTACCAATACTAGTGCTATTTATTTGTTATCCCTCATTCTTGCTCCGTGACCTACCCACCTCTTTTCCCAACAGCATCATAGAAATATAATGGATTTTGTCTGCCTTCTAACTTTGACATTTAGAATGGATTTGAGGGGAATATTCAGATGACCCATACCTTTTATTTTGCTGTTTCAAAAGATTCATGATTTAATTGGTGTGTGCACTCTCTCCTACAGCACAGATCAAAACTAACTAAAGCCTTACTGGAGGATATGGGTTTTAGTTTAGCTAATTGGCAAAATGCACACCAGTACCTTCATTTTATCAAAATTAATTTCCTAGTGCTCATTAGAACCTTCTTTTTTGAAAATAACCATCAAAATATCTAAATTTCTGAAATCAGAACACAGATCAAAGCATACTATTTTTACTTGCTTTGTCTTTTTCATAGTGTTTTCCTTTTAGTCTGTTTCTTCTTTCACAATATGACTAATATGGAAATATGCTATCAAGTTCTTACCTTTTTAGGGAGAAGGGAGAGAAAGGAAGGAGGAAGAAAATTTGGAACTCAAAAAATGTTTTAATTAATGTTAAAAATTGTCTTTACATGTAATTGGAAAAAATAAAATACTTAAAAAGTAAATTTCTTAAACCATTCCTAAGGACTTCAGTTACAAATTTGCATGAACATGCTTTACTGGGAAAAGCATTGAATTTGGAGTTTGATGAGCTAGGTTATAGCTCCATCTCTACCACTTATTACCTATGTAATATCCTGCATCTGCTCTGGATCTCGATTTCCTCATCTTTAAAATGAAGGGATATTTCTTGACCTCTGAAGTCAAATTTGTCTCTAAAGTCCTAAGATTCAAATTGCGAGGGGGTGGTTCAGGAAATGAAGATGATGTAAAAACAAAAATATAAAATATCTATGATTTCTCTATGTCTTGAGGGTGGATTTCCAAACTGAGTTTGGCTGTCTGCTTCTCAAGGATCTTATAGGAGAGAGTCGTGTTTTAGACAAGGGCTAACTCTAGGTGACCCCTAAGGTCTATCCTAATCCTAAAATTCTAAGATTCAATATGTATCCTTTCCTTTTGTTCATTTTCTTTCCTTTACTGTTATATCTCCTCCTGACATTCTTCCCTTACTCTTTGGAAGAGGGTACATAAGAAGAGGAAAAGGAAGGAAGGTTGGACAGATGCACTTCATGCTTGGGTAATGGTACCTGGTGCCCAGTGTTTATAAGCTGATTTTGTGTAGGTCAACTTAAGACCTTTTTAATTCCAGCTGCAGAAGTCAGTTTTTTTTAAATTCCTTTGATGGCTATCCTGGAGCCCTGTAGTACAGGTTATTAAGAAGAAAGGTAAAGTCCACAAGGGGAGAGGGGCTGGAAATGAAGTGAGTGTATGACTTAGACAACATTGAAAGATCAGAGAGTGAAATGCAGAGCACTGAAAGAAGGGACATCTTGAAATCCAAAACCTGTTAAAAATTCTGAGTTCACCTTATCTCTTCCTTGCATTTAAAATGAACATGTTTTTGAGGACAACAACATTCCAAATAAAAGTTTAAGAGCACTAGATTTGGAACAAAATGGTTTGAATCTTGGCTCTGCCAATTACTTCCTAGAGGGGGGGAGCTTCCGAAAGTCACTAAACCCCTATGGGTCCTCAATTTCTTCACCTATAATATAAATTTGGAAATATGTTTGACATGATTGCACATGTATAATCTATACCAAATTGCTTACCATCTCAGGGAGGGAGGAGGGAAAGGAGAGAGGGAGAGAATGCGGAACTCAAAATTTTTAAAAATGAATGTTAAAATAGTTGTTATGTGTAATTGGGGAAAAATAAAATACTATTAAAAAAAGAAGTTGGACTAAGTAACTTCTAAGATGCCTCAAGCATTATGGATCTCATGATCATAATCCCAATATCAAAGCACATACCTAGCAAGACATGTTCCAATACTTCAAAGATAAAAACTTCCAGTAACAACCTCTCTGTTGTACTGAAGTAGAATGATACCATATCATCTAATGGGAACATTAGACTGGGAATCAAGAATCTAATTTCAGCTAATTGTGTCATCTTAGGCAAGTGGCTTAACTTCTAATTTTTCCTCATCTGTAAAATAAGGGAGTTAGATGAACTAATTTCTAAGATATTGTGATCTTCTATGGCTCAGGTAAGGAGAGTACTAGAAAAACACATGAAAAACTGCAATTTGTTGGTAAAAGAACTATGCTCAAAAGTAATAATGATAATTTGTAAATGATTTTGGGATTAGATGGGGATGGGAAATCAGATTAAGGCTACCAAGCTAGACCAGCTCTTGGTAGAGTAGGATTGAGAGTTGGAAGAGAATTCATATACTCCAAATTGCTCTTCTTTATAGTTCAGGAAACTGAGGCCCAATTGTTGGGAATATTACTGAGGAGATTCACGTTTCAGTCAAGAAATCTCTAAGATTCCAAGGTTCTATAAACCCATTCCTTTCCCTTATTTGCTTTGCTCTACTTTCATTGAACCTCCTCCACCTTCCTTTCTTTGGCTTCCCGTTACAACCACCAAGGGCTATCTAGAAGGGGAAAGAAGTCACAAAAGCACAGCCTTAAAGGAGCATAAGAGGGGGAGTTTTCAAAGTGAGGTCCTCTGATTCCAAATTCAGAGTGTTTTCCACACTCTCAGATTACCAAGAATAGAGATAAGCAATTGAAGTGTTTAAAGGGTTTAACGTTTAGAAAATAATCAAAGCTTGTGAGATAGGAACAAATTGTTACATAATGTCCCTCTCCCAATATGAATCAAATAAAGCTGACATTTGGTGGCTGGTGGGGACATCCCTCTACCTTCAACCTCTTAATCTGAGGGACTCTTACCACCAGCAAATTAGTTAGTTCCTTGTAGGATTGTAGTGGGGGCTTCAGATTCTTTAACCAGCTCCCTCTTGGATTTCTGGTGCTCAACCTGCAAGGTCCCTGCCCAGAAAGCCCCACAAGGCTGTTTAATTTGTCAATTTGTCTTCCCATTGCCTTCTCTCTGCCACAGGAGGGTGCTGCGATCATTCCAGAGGCTCGGGTTTGGCAAGACGGCGTGGGTCACAGCGCGGAGTGTTTGTTACAAAATGTCTGTCTTGTGTTGTCACAGGCTGCTGGGGAGAAGGATCGCGTTCATCTCCTGGCTCTTCTGGCTGCTTTGGTGCAGCGCGATGCTCTCTCCTGTCTGGGGGTATGTGATTGTGAGCTCGGTCTCCTGGTCAGTTACCAACGAGGCAGAGGAGGAGCTGGACAGCTCCTCCAACGAGGAGGCGCTGCCTTCGCTCCTGGAAGACACCACGAGCATCTGGAAGCAAAGCTACTCGGCCTCTGTTTACAAAGAAGACAGCGAAATGAGGTCCAGGCCAGAGGTGGGGAGGTCCAAGCAGATCTCTTCTCCTTCCAGGATGTTTTCCTATAGAAGAGAAAGTGTCAAAGGGACAGGCAACCTTCCTCCTCACAAGCAGATCATCAGGACTGCCCGATTCCTGGCTCACACTAACAGCTGGGGCTTTTTGGCTACTGTATCTACCCAGGAAAAGGTAAGTCAACATATCCTGTACCAAGAATTTAACATTCTCCCTCTTTAAAAAACAAAAAATGAATAATTTAAAAAAGCCAGAAAAATAGCCTTTACCCACTAGCAGCTCTAAGGGAGGGGTCTGCAGATGTATTGATTGCAACTGACTGCTCTGTGAGAATCACTATACAAACAAGCCTCCCTGTCTAGGAAATCATGCAGCATGTAGATGAGACAATGATGTGTTGGCATTAACTCATGTGTTTTCATACTATTTTCAAAAGACACAACCTTAGGATTGAATTTGACTGCCTCTGAGAAATGTGAGCTGTCCTGTAAAAGACACAGTCTGAGCAATGGAGCAAGACTGATTCCATTATATTGGCAAAGTATAGGACTAAGATCACTGCCAGGCTCCAGCTAGGTGTAGTAGCACCAAGGATCTGAGTTTGAATGAGCTTCCAGGGAAGGGATGCAAAAGAAGAGTCCAACCAGAGGCCCCATGGAAAGACTGACTCTACAGGCAGACAAAAGTAGTCAACCTTCTATCCCAGTTGCCCACTAAAACCAAAAATCTTCCATTGCCCACAACATAAGGAAGTGAAACACAGGAAACAACTAGAGGTTTACTTGAATTTAAAAACCATTTCCAAATTAATCATTTTCATTCCTGATTTCACGGGCTTCCTTTCTTAATAAATAGTATATATTGAAGTTTACAAACATGATGAAAAGCTATTATTAAAGAGCAGGTTTTTTCCCTAAACTTAATAGGATATAAATATGAATCAAATGTCAGAGAATCTTCTTCTTTGAAATTATAAATAAAATGATGACTTGCAAGACAAGTGGTAATTCCATCTGTGGGTTCAAATGGCATGAATAAATAATGAGAATTTAATTCTCACAATATGGCTTGCAGAAAGCTTTGAGGGAATTAAAATCTTGGCATTCTTCTACATGTTATGCCACAAATAATTCCTATTTCACTTAAATGACATTATTCAATCCAAATAATGTAGAACTTGATGTACAATTTAACAAAACATAACCTGATAATATTAAGAGGTAGCATTTACATAGTGCTAATTTAATGTTTGTAAAGCACTTTGCACATACCTCATTTTATCTTCACAACAACTTTTGGAAGTAGGAGCTATTATTATCTCCATTTTCCTGATGAGGAATCCAACCAGACAGAAATTCAGTGACTTGCTCAGGGTTGTATAGCCAGTAAGTATCCGAGATTGGATTTAAACTCCTATCTTCCTGACTCCAGTTTCAGCGCTTTACCCATTGAGCTTAAGACTAGAAGGCAAGAATTGTGGTTTCTATACATAATGTTACCAGAGGTTATATATGTTAACTTGGGCAAATTACTATATCTCTCATGGCCTTAGTTTTCCAACAATAAAATGAGGGAGTCTGACTGTGTGAACCCTAAATCATAATTAATGACAAATTATCAGTTGATCTTGATTATATCAACTTTTGAAAATATCACATTTAGTATGAGTTTCAATGGGTCATGGCTAAATACTTGATATAGTTAACAACTCTTTTTTGCTGCCATATGCGCACCTGAGGCAAATTGAAATATATACTGGATCTTGGGTAAAGATCTCAACCTTTATGTATGATTAAAAATGCAATGCCAGAATGACATGATGCTGGCTCATGTTACTTAGCATTGTAATAGTCTTTCTTTTCAATTTTGACAGTTAAAATTGTATCCTATCATAAAAAATGAGAATAAGAAAGTCTACAAATAGTTGTATCACAGCAGAGGGCTTTCTAACAATGAATTTTCTTACAAATTTAGAATAATTCTACACTGTAACTACCCACTCGGACTTTAGGGCCAAGAGAACTTTGTTTCAGATCCTGCCTCTGACACCAGCTGTGTGACTCTGGGCAAGCCACAACCCTCTCAGTGCTCTAGGCAACTTTCTAAGACTGTAAGTTGTGAAGAAAGTGCCAAAATGAAAAGGTAGGGAGTGTTCCTCATTGAGAACTCCCTACATCTATTAAATCATAGGTTCAATTTCTGTTCTTATCCTTAGCTCTACACCTAACCTCATAACTTGACACCTAACAGACCAAGACCAATCCCTACATTTAGGCATCTATGTGATAAATGGAGAAAATGATGATCCTGAGTGACCAAATCCATCATAGAATAGCATGCTTTCTAATAACATTTTCCTGGTCATATGACTTCATTATTTGAATTAGAAATCGCTTGCTGGTGAATGACCAGGGACAAAATTGACATAGTATGCTCCCATAAGTACTAGCAAACTCAGACACTTTTTCTCTAATGTCTTGGCTAATGTGATGACAAAACAATGAATAAATGAGCAAGGAGTCATGCCTTAGGGGGAAAAGTGTAATATGAACAAACAAAAAGCTCCTGCAATCCAAAGATTGGATGAGATGACGAATCCAGAAGCTAGTCCTCTGTAAGAACTTAGAGTTAGGTGAAATTCTCAAGTATTCTTAAGCCAGCCACCAAAATCTTAACCATGATATAAGTGTAGGGGAAATAGTGGGATTAGAAATCACTTTTCCTTGATTAATACATCTGTACAAGAGTCACTCCCATTAAACATCAATGAGATAATGTAAAATCTGTAACACTTATATCACTATATAAATGTTATTATTGTCATTGTTATTCAGCATCCCGACTGGAACATCTCCTAATGGGGAATAGAGTCTCAGTCTGTAATTCACTAATAAAAAGTTTTCCCTTATATTTGTCAGATTAAGGGTGTGCCCTTTGGGAACTGCTTACCCATCAGTGATGGTCCCTTCAACAACAGCACTGGGATTCCCTTCTTCTATGTGACTCCAAAGGACAACATTGTTGCTGACTTGATGAAAAATCCAGTTGCCTCCCTGACCCTGCCAGAAGCAGCAGGAGATTTCTGCAGGTAGTGTGGATTGTCTGGTGTCACTGGTGAGGGTTCTTATTTCCTGACAGTTTGGTACGGCTGAAAACACAGCACAATTGTTTCTCATATACAAAGCGATGTCTCTACTTACTCTAAGAGGATTGGGGGAACGGGTCCAGACTTTCTAAAAAAGATGTATAACCATGGTGCTTAGCAAAGGAAGGGTGTGTTGATGGAGAATGAGGCATAGGACCATAGAATCACAGATGTAAAGCTAGAAAGGACCACATAGGCCATCTAGTCTTAACTGTCCACCCATCACTCCTTTCACCACTTCCAATTTTACAGGTGAAGAAACTGGTTCCCAGGGTGCTTAAACGATTTTCCTAAACTCACAGAGGTAGTAAGCATTGGAGGCAGGGTTTAAACCTAGGTCCTTTGAAACCAAAAAGCATTCCACTTTGAACTACCTCACTCAGTCCTGCTGTGAATAGAGAATGCATTAGAAAACCTGAATTCTCTTGCCTTAGTCCAACCTGCTTACTATATAGATGAGTTAACTGAGACTCAGAGAGGTTTAGGTGACTTGCTCCAGGTCACTCAGTTAGTAAACAGAAGAGGGGAAATTCAAACCTAAGTCCCTGATTCCAGATCCAAAGCTCTTTCCACTGAATTGCCTGAATAATTTGGTATTGAACTGCCCCTTTTGAAATCAAATGAAAGCCTTTCAGGCATATTCTTTTTCTTTCTTTTTAAAAATTTATTTATTTATTTTTAGTTTTCAACACTCACTTTTATAAGATTTTGAGTTCTAAATTTTCCCCCTTCTTCCCCTCCCCACTTCCCAAAACAACATGCAATCTGATATAGGCTACTCATGTATTAAACCTATATTCATCCATGTAATATTAATTAAATTATGAATTCATATTCATATTAATTAAATTATATTAAACCTATTTCCACATTAGTCAAAGTTTATCTCATTTCAATTCAATAAACATTTATTAAATGCCTACTATATAACAGGCTTTATGCTAGGCTCTAGAATTTGGTTTGGACCAAGCCATCTACTATCTACCAATGCAATACAACAACTGTTCCACAACTCAGTCTTAGAAAGTTGCCTTGGACACTGAGAGATTAAGAGACTTACCTAATGTCACACACCTACCATGTGTCAAAGGCTGGACTTAAAACCTGCTTTTCCTGACTCCAAGGCTAGCCCTCTTTCCACCATGCCATACTGACTCTTCAGGCTCTGGGAGACCAATACAAAATTGAGATAGACCTTACCTTCAAGGTGGGAAACAAGTACACAGAGGAATAAATGCATAATATTTAGAAGTAATTTTAGGAGTGGCACATTTATACCAAAACGCCTTCAGAAATGTTCTCTTTCACCAAGTTTGTGAGAGATCAATTAATCTAAAAGCATTTTAAAAGCTCCTACTATGTGTCAAGCTAGGCTCTGGGGCTTCAAAGAAAAAAATAAAATAATCTCTGCTCTCAAGGGGCTAACATTCTGTTGAGGAGAGGGCAGGGATAGTACAAAGGTGATCTCTAAAGTCCCTTCCACCTCTAAATCTTGTGATTCTAAATCACTGAAGAATATGTTCCCAGCTCCAGTGCTTCATGAGAAGTGAGATATAGTGAAAAGAACACAGACGGGTCCAGGAATCTAGTCTCAGTATTGTTACTAACTACCTACATCAACTTCTGCAAATTATTTTTATTTTCTTATACTTTATTTTATTCGAGGTCTTTTTCCTTCTTCATGCTCTTGAGGGAGCATGGCATAGTGGATAGACTGCTGGACTTGAAACCAGGAAGTACTGGGTTCATAATCCTTCTGATACTAATTAGTTTTGTGACCATGGGAAGGTCACTTAACTTCTCTAAACCTCAATTTCCTTACCTGTAAAATTAGGGATTAGAATCAGTGTTTTTGGGACAGCTAGGTGGTGCAGTGGACAGAGCATCAGCCCTGGAGTCAGGATGACCTGAGTTAAAATCTGGCCTCAGACACTTGACACTTACTAGCTGTGTGACCCTGGGCAAGTCACTTAACCCCAATTGCCTAAGCAAAAAAAAAAATGTGTCTTCTATGATCTCTTCTGTATCTATCATCTTATCATCTTAGTTTATAGAACTAAAATTCCATAGTTCTATAATAAATATGGGGCAAGAAACATACAAAACTCACACAAATAAAATTATTTATATACTGATGACTATTATTTGTATAATAAAGGCAGTTCTACCTTGAGTGGTCTTCAGTTTCAGTATGGGTTCTCCTTTCATCAATATGCATCTCAACTTCTCTATGCCTTCTCAAAGCAGTATTAAACTGAAAATTTGACCTAGATGAGACTATGTCCATAATAACAACTCATATCCCTGTTATTTTTTTTTACAGTTTACAAGGCCTTTCCCTAGTATGATATCAGTTGTACAATTTTATTATTCCCATTTATAGAAAAGGAAGCAGCCTTAGAGTGATTAAGTGACTTGCCCAAGGTTAATCAGCAAGTGTCAGACCCTCATCTTCTGGCTCCAAGCAGTATTGAGAAAGTAATACTGCTAGAGCTGCCTCTTCAAAACACTTTTAATCAGTCTTGATATGATGTCTTGGAATATTGACAAACTTGGATAATAACAAGCTTGACTGGATAATGCCAAAGACATCGTCTAATCTATTTCCCATTATAAATGGAGCAAAGCCAGAGAATGCCACAAGTACTATTTTATGTGATTTCCCCCCCTCTTTTGGCCAGTCTATTTGATGCAAAGCATATTCCCATGATCCATTTCTGAACCTCCTGGGGACTCTCCCATCTCACTGGGATATGGACCCTTACTTATGCCCTAAAAGCAGCTTTTTATGGACTGTGATCTCCTGAGCTCTGAATCCTGAAAGTCCACATTCTAGAAGATTAACAATATACAAATTTTTCATGATTACAATAGAATATGAGGTGGGTAATCAGCCTGAAAAAGAGAATTGCTTATTGGCCTGTGCCAGACAAAAATTGTCATTTGAAGGCATTAGCCAGCAGCTGTCACTATTACTTTCTACTGTCCTGAAACTCTACAGTCGAAAGATTTGGGAAGGGTAATGTTGTTAGCTCACTACTAGTAATTGCTTGGTGCCAGCAAAGAAGTATGGTGGTACAATCACTGAATTGACTAGAGTAAATCAATCAATAAGCATTTACTAAGCACCTTTTCAATCTTAACTATGATGCTAGCTAGACCCTAGCGATACAAGAGATACCAGGCCCAAATGGACCTGTCATCTTATTTATCTGAAAGTTTCTTCTGATGATGCTAACTGCAACCCATTTTCCTGATTTCCCTATGTAACACTTATCTGTGTCCTCCCATAGATTCATCATAGGAAGTCCCACTTCTCTTTTTATCACACATTTCCTTGATGGTATCTATTATTCCTTTTCTTTAAAGTTCCTCCCCTCTGTTACAGCTTGTACACATCTACCATGTGCCTCTCCATTTCCTTCTCTGTGATATTCATTTTTAATTCTTCAGAGGATGTTGTATCTCATATCTTGAGGCCACACCAACATCAGTAGTGCTGGTATTTTTTTAAATGGGCCTTTGTTGTGACCTGAAACAAATTAATTTACCTCCTCAGCCTCAGTTTCATAATCTGTAATGAAAAGTTTGAAAAGGTGTGAGATTCAGTGATCATAAGTGGCTTGCAGAGTACAAAACATATGCCACATTATAATAACAACTTTCACATATATAATGTCATTGAGGACATATATAATGTGCCATTGAGGAAATTTCCTCTATCAATGCAGATAAGCACCTGTTCTATACCTTATAGCCTTAGACATTTGCCTAGGGTGCCAAGAGTCTCTGTGATTGACCAGGAATATGTAGTTAGTATGTTTTGTCAAGACTTAAACATAGGACTTTTTGTCTCTAAAGCCATCTCTCTATCTAATATGCCACACCAGCTCTCCCATAGTGATTTATGGTTTTCAAAACACTGTATTAATTTACTAATGAAAGCCCTGTAAAGTAGGAAATACTAGCATTATAATCCCCATTTTACATTTTAGGAAATGATAGCTCTGAGGGGTTAACTACAATTACAGTTAGAATCATATCCTATCACATAGTATCATGGAAAGAGCATTGGTTCTAGAGTGAGAGGACCTGGGTTCAAATCATGCTTGATGTTCACTATCTATGTGACCTTTGGCAAATCACTTAAGTTGCCTGGGCCACAGTTTCCTCATCTGTAAATGAGGGGATTGGATTAGGTGGCCTTTGGGGTCTCTCTAGCATCAGATCTATGATCTACTTCAGTATTTCAAGGATCAAAAAACGCTGGTTTTGGAGTTGGTGAATACAGTGACTTTGTGCATGTTTTATATTGACCTGAATTGACCTGCTTCCCCCTCTCCACGTAGAATTTAGATTTCTTGAGAACGATCTCATTTATTATTTTTGTATTCCCACGACCTAATATAATACCTACCAACAACCAAATGATTGTTGAATAAATGAATAAATGAATGAATGAAATGACTGTAACAGCTGCTTGTTTGGGATATTAGAGGTTAATTAGTAAAGCTCCAAAATAATCAGTTCACCCTTTATTCATTCCTCCTCACTTCACCTTGGCTCAAGGGTTATCTGGTGAGACTATAATTCATTTCCAAGTGTCTCCAAAGTCTCTCAATCAAACAAAGGAATTCAGAAATTACTTTTTTATGATGATGAAGGCAAGCTGAGGTTATCCAGTCCCTTTGCCTGCAAAAGGAGGAGATATTAATAGAATGTAAGCCCTTTGAGGGCACGGATTGATTAATTTTGGTCTTTCTATCTCCAGGACCCAGCATGGTGCCTGGCCCAGAGTAGGCAGTTAACAAGATGTTTGGAGAATTGAACCAAACTATACTAAAAAAAATGCAGACATAATGTGCTATCATTCTGTTGAGCTGATTTCCCTATCGACCTAAAGCAAAAAAGGGGAAAAGAAGAGAGGGTCCAAGGGAGGGACT